CTGGCCACGCGCGGGGCCCGCAAGGGCGGCCAGTGGAGCGACCACTTTGAGCAGACCGCTTCGGCCTACAACGCGCGCCCCACGAGACGGTGCATGGCGCCCCGGAAGACGTGGAGAAGCAGCCGGCCACAGAGTTCAGGGTCCTCCAAGACAACGCCGACAGGTTCCAGCACAACAAGGACTTGACGAACCGCCGCATCAAGGCAGTGGAGGACGCGGGCGCTTTCCGAACGCGGCGAGGAGCTTCAACCCTCAGCACGGCGACGTGCAGCAGCGGGCCGTGGACTCCATGACCGTCCGGAGCACCGAGGGCCGGGAGACCCTGCTAAAGCTGGCGCTGCCGGCGCCCCAGGGCAGCGGCAACGCGGCGGGCCGACTGACGAGGCGGGGCAGGCCGGCAGCTGTCAGGCAGCTGGACGACTTCCTGGCGCCTCCAAGGCCCAGGACCCTCGACTGATTACGGCTACTTTGGACCAAACTGGAAACTTTGCATAAAGCGCTGGAAACTTGTACTTTGAGTCGTGTTTTTGGGGTAGCATGATTTTCCTGAGAGCACCCCAAGTCTCTCGGACGACATCATTATAAAAATCTAAATCCCCATGCGTCCGTGTCCTCGACCTATCGACCTGCCCGAGCAAGACGTCGAGACCGCAGAAGCCTCAGGCATTGAGGCATCTAACAAGGGTTGGACATCTGAGGTGCGCTCAAGACAGCAAGGGTTGGACAGTGTTTTCCTTGCGCAAGCACGCCATCTGTTCACGTGACTTGCCGGGTCTCTGCAAATGGCTGACACTGTGCGTCACCCAACAGCCTAAGAGCTACTTGTCGATGCCGATCGGAGCTTCACACCCACCATGCGCTCATTTTGCTTGAGGGTGGAGATGTACCGCGGGCCATAGGATTGTCCTTTGATCCCCACCTTCGAGATCACGCTCTTTGCCGCGCCCAAGGTGTCCAGGCTGAGGTAGGTCTTCAGCGCCATCGTCAGCTCCGTGTGGAGGCTTGCTTCCTTCAAGGGCACCAGCGCACACATCTCCGCCATGGAGGCCTCGGGTTTGGCCTCCTCGTCCTTGTCTGCACATGGGACCAGGTCCATGGCGCTCATCTTCATCTCCGGTGGCTGCGGCTTGATCTCGGTGCCTGGGTTGTACTCCATCTCCAACGAGTCCACGAGATTTGCCGCAAGGAAGAACATGTACTTGTTGAACTCTCCTCAGTTTATCCGGGTCTTGAGGCCATCCACGGCTCGCTCCTCGGTGGCCATGGACGGCTTCAAGGTGAAGCTGACCGTTGTCTGGCAGACTCAAAGCCGCCGCAGCATCCCATCCGGTCGAGTCACACGGGGAGGGGAATTGCTTGTTGCCACCAGCAAAGCCGTAGGCATGAAGTCCGGGGACCCTTGTTGAGCTTCCTGCTGCAGACTGGCGCACCTTCCATGTCACAAAAGGGCTTGGTGAAGTCATCCGCCAACGAGTAGTGCTCGGGGACTTCACTGGCCCAGGCCAGCCGCTTGCCTAGAGTCCTTGCATGGTAAGGCGCGGGTCCGTCCTTCGCGGACAGGTAGCGAGTCTGCTGCACCACATAGTTTCCCGGAAGCTGCACCCCGTAGTTGTTCTCTTTGTGACCGAAGAAGGCGTGCAACATCTTCACCTTGGTGTCCTTCCCGGAATCCTGGCTTCCCCAGATGTAGTACATCTCGCAGAACCGCGGCGACGCGGAGATGGCCCTGGTCATGAGACGCAGCTCGTACAGGACGGAGTCCCAGTCCCCGTACACCTTCATGTGGCGGAGGATCTCGCACCCGTCCTGCTCCAATTCCTCGAAGCACTCGATGACCTGTTTGCCATACTCGCTGGCCTCGAGCAGACACACCCCCGTCTCCACATGCTCCTTCAAGAAAGCCAGGATGTGCTCGAAGAGCTTGGTCGCCTTGCTCGGCTGCCACATCTCTGAGGTCGCCGCCGCGTGGAAGCCCATGCGGTCGGCGGGGATCGGTGATCGGAGGACACGCTCCTTGAAATCGTAGAGCATGCCGTCGCAAAAGAGGATTTTGTGCCGTGTCTCGTCGCCGTCGATGTCCGCCATCTGCGGGCCTGCCAGACGCCCCAGAACGGACGAGGACAGACCGGTGAAGAAGGCATTATCGTTGAGGGGCGGCGGCGGCACGTAGTTCTCATCGACTGTCTCGAAGACCGGGCAACACATCGTGTTCATCAGGTCTTCCACGGTCTGGCCCAAGTCGTCCCGGTTTCGCACCAGCCAGAAGCCTCCCTTCTCGAAGCTTTCGTAGGTGGTCCTCTTCTCACCCCCCTCCACCGGAACGTGTACGACCGGAACCAGCTTCGCCGCCGCCAGCTTCGCAAAGTCCACGGTGTTTGCCCTCGCCCGTCCAAGTATGACGTGCTGCCTGCAGCGCTGGAGCATTTGGTGGTACCCGGAGAACTCCATCTTCGACTTGAGTCTCCAATCCAAGTTGGGGTACTTCGCCGCCGCGTATGCCCACGGGTCCTCCAGCTCGTGCATGACCACCTCGACATCCACGGCTCGCTTCACGTCCTCGCTCGCGGAGCGGAGGGCCCCGATGCCGTCGTGCTGGTGGTCGTTGAAGGCCCTGCCCGCTGCCGCCGCCATCTTCTCCATCTGCAACCTCTCGTGGTGGGCGTACAGGGCAAAGGCCCCCGAGGCAGTGGAGCGGCCCTGCTCCATGTGCCAGACCTTGGCCTTCTGTGGCAGCAGCTCAAAAACGGCCACGTGGTAGAGGCGCGCCGCCGTCTCGAAGCCGTAGAGCCAAGCAGCCACCTCGCCGCGCTCCCCCCCATCCGAAGCCAAGGGTATGTCCTGCAGCACCTTGCTCGTCCAGTTTGCGAAACCACCCCCAAAGCCCAGGGCAATCATCAGCTCCTTCGCCACGCTGCGCCGGCGGGCCTCGGGCTGCTTGTGGAAGAGCACGCGGCCGATCTGCGCGAGCTTCTCCTCACGGTGGTCCAGGTACTCCGCCATGATGGGCGGCAGCGGCTTCTGTCGGTTCAAGAGCTGGAAGAACGAGTTCTTGATGTCCAGCTCGACGGATCCAAGGCGATGCCGCGCAATGTAGCGGACCAACTTCTTGAAGGCAAACGCAGAGCGCCCCACAAGCGTGTCTGGGACCCCCATCTCGATCTCCTTGCGAATCTCCGGCGGCAGCTGCTTCATGAACTCTGCCCGAGCGGAATCCACGGCGCCCTCATTGCCTTTGCGCTTTTTGGCAGGCGCCTCCTGTGCGGGCACCCGACCGATGCCGGAGAAGATCCGCCCCTTCAGCCCAGGCGCGGTGCGGCCTGGGCGCAGGAGCACGGGAATCCACCCAATGCCGTCCTGGTCCACATTCACAGAGCGCTTGAACAGGCTCATCAGCACATCAAAGAGACTGTGGTCGGGGCATCGCCGCACGGCGTCGAGCTGCAGAGCGTTGCTGATGGTGAACACGTCCGTCCGCTCCCAAACAAGGCGATGGTGTTTTAGGTTATTTTCGGGAGGCTCGGTAAACTGCTCCTTGAACTGCGTGTAGTGCCCCAGTTGGGCGGGTGTCGGAAGCTCTACCTCCTCCTCTACCTCCTCCACCTCCTCCTCCTTGACCTCCGTCTCCATCTGCTCCGCCGGCTCCTCCGTCTCCGTCTCCATCTGCTCCGCCGGCTCCTCGGCCGGCTCCTCGACCGGCCCATGGGCCTCCGTCTCCTCCTGGGCAGCCGGCTCCTCGGCCGGCCCATGGGCCTCCGTCTCCGTCTGCTCCTCCGTCTCCATCTGGGCCTCGGCCGCCTCCTCGACCGGCTCCTCGACCGGCCCATGGGCCTCCGTCTCCTCCTGGGCCTCCGTCTCCATCTGGGCCTCGGCCGCCTCCTCGACCGGCTCCTCGACCGGCTCCTCGGCCGGCTCATGGGCCTCCGTTTCCTGGGCCTCGGCCGCCTCCTCAACCGGCTCCTCGACCGGCTCCTCGGCCGGCTCATGGGCCTCCGTCTCCTCCTGGGCCTCCGTCTCCTCCTGGGCCTCAGCCGGCTTTTCGGCCGGCTCGTGGGCCTCCGTCTCTGCCGGCTCATGGGCCTCCGTCTGCTCCTGGGCCTCCGTCTCCTCCTAAACCTTGGCTTTTCGGCCGGCTCCTCCGTCTGCTCCTGAACCTCCGCAAGAGCCTTTGAGAGCCTCCTTTCAAAGATGCGTTGGAGCTCCCGCACCGACTCAGCTTCCTCGAGGTTGGCATCATTGAGGTTGAGCCACTGGAGCCTCGCCAAGGCTTCCTGGCACACAGATCTCTCAAGGCGCTTGCGCCGACGGAGAAGGCCGTCACAGAAATTGATGACCTCTGCGGCGGTCTCCACCGGATTTCGGATCTTGCACAGCGCGCGGTGCAGAAGCCCCTCCAGCTCAGTCATGGGCCGCTGGCGAGTAGCGTCTGGATCACTGCCGACCGCCAAGCTCTTCATGCTCTGCATCTCACCGAAGGCCTCTCCAGCGCGGGGGTCCGTGCACTTGTCCGGGTGCACCAAGTGCATCATCATCTTGAAGCAGGACGACGCAGAGCCGGGGAAGATCCTGAAGCCGCACTTCTCGCCAACTCGATGCGTGGCTCAGCACGAGCTGCACCGCCAGGGACCGCGCGGCATCCATGGTCATGGTAGGTGTCGAAAGCTAAGTTCCTTCTGAGAAAATGCTTCAAAAGATAAAGATGGCACGACCCAGCAAGTACCCGAATGCTTGGCAATGACTGGCAACCAGGCCCCGGACATTCGGAAACAGCAGCCGAAGTCGAAGGCGTCTGAGCGGCAACTCCACCCGGTCCTGGAGATGCTTGTCAAATGGCCTAGTTCTGTGCCCCCCCCTGAGGCGGTTTTTTATTTATATAAAAATCTAAATGCTTCGATCCCTCGTGCTTCGATCCCTGGCATCCCGTGCTTTCTGTGCCCCCCTGAGGCGGTTTTATTTATATAAAAATCTAAATGCTTCGATCCCTCGTGCTTCGATCCCTGGCATCCCTGCTTTCTGTGCCCCCCTGAGGCGGTTTTATTTATATAAAAATCTAAATGCTTCCATCCCTGGCATCCCGTGCTTTCTGTGCCTCCCTGAGGCGGTTTTTTATTTAAATAAAAATCTAAATGCTTCCATCCCTGGCAGGTTATCTCCCGTGCTTTCTGTGCCTCCCTGAGGCGGTTTTTTATTTATATAAAAATCTAAATGCTTCCATCCCTGGCAGGTTGTCTCCCGTGCTTTCCGTGCCGCCCTGAGGCGGTTTTTTATTTATATAAAAATCTAAATGCTTCGATCCCTGGCAGGCTGTCTCCCATGCTTTCCGTGCCCCCCTGAGGCGCTTTTTTATTTATATAAAAATCTAAATGCTTCGATCCTGGCATCCCGTGCTTTCTGTGCACCTTGAGGCGGTTTTATTTTTCTAAAAAAACAAATGCTTCAATCCCGCTGCAGGCAGTCTGACAAGGAATGCGAGCGTTTAGGTTTTATATAAAATAAAAACTTCTTTTTTTTAATCGAAACACTTCCTCGCGGCTTGTCAAATGGCCTAGCTCTGTGCCCCTTGAGGCGGTTTTATTTTTCTAAAAAGCTAAATGCTTCAATCCCTCTGCAGGCAGTCTGACAAGGAATGCGCGCGTTTAGCTTTTTATATAAAATAAAAACTTTATTTTTTTAAAAAAAAAAAGAAAAGAATACTTCCTCGCGGCTTGTCAAATGGCCTAGCTCTGTGCCCCTTGAGGCGGTTGTGTTCATATAAAATCTTAATGCTTCAATCCCTCTGCAGGCAGTCTGACAAGGAATGCATGCGTTTAGTTTTTATATAAAATGAAAACTTTAATAATTTTAAAAAAAAAGAAAAGAATACTTCCTCGCGGCTTGTCAAATGGCCTAGCTCTGTGCCCCTTGAGGCGGTTTTATTTTTCTAAAAAGCTAAATGCTTCAATCCCTCTGCAGGCAGTCTGACAAGGAATGCGCGCGTTTAGCTTTTTATATAAAATAAAAACTTTATTTTTTTTAAAAAAAAGAAAAGAATACTTCCTCGCGGCTTGTCAAATGGCCTAGCTCTGTGCCCCTTGAGGCGGTTTTGTTCATATAAAATCTAAATGCTTCAATCCCTCTGCAGGCAGTCTGACAAGGAATGCATGCGTTTAGTTAGTTTTATATAAAATATAAAATTTTATTTAAAAAAAAAAAGAAAATAATACTTCCTCGCGGCTTGTCAAATGGCCTGGGTCTGGCGCTGGGGGGAGGTTTTTTGGGCAGTGCCGAGTGGGCACGTAGGATTAATACTGCTTCGCCCAACGACCTGGAACTCAGCTCCGTGCGCTTCGCATGTTGGCATCCCTATATCACACACCTCAAGGATGAGGATGGCTTTTTTATTTATATAAAAATCTAAATGCTTCCATCCCTGGCAGGCTGTCTCCCATGCTTTCCGTGCCCCCCTGAGGCGCTTTTTTATTTATATAAAAATATAAATGCCTGTGGAAAACCGCCTCAAGGGGGCACAGAAAGCACGGGGACAACCTGCCAGGGATCGAAGCATTTAGATTTTTATATAAATAAAAAGCCGCCTCAGGGGGCACAGAAAGCACGGGAGACAACCTGCCAGGGATGGAAGCATTTAGATTTTTATATAAATAAAAAACCGCCTCAGAGGGGCACAGAAAGCACGGGAGACTACCTGCCAGGGATGGAAGCATTTAGATTTTTATATAAATAAAAAACCGCCTCAGGGGGCACAGAAAGCACGGGAGACAACCTGCCAGGGATGGAAGCATTTAGATTTTTATAAAAATAAAAAACCGCCTCAGGGGGCACAGAAAGCACGGGAGACAACCTGCCAGGGATGGAAGCATTTAGATTTTTATATAAATAAAAAACCGCCTCAGAGGGGCACAGAAAGCACGGGAGACAACCTGCCAGGGATGGAAGCATTTAGATTTTTATATAAATAAAAAACCGCCTCAGGGGGGGGGCCCAGAGCTAGGCCAGTTGGGCGAGCCAGTATCAAACGAGGTTGGGCGGACCAGTACTATGGGCCGTTGGGCGACCCCGTACTAAGGGGGCCGTTGGGCGAACCCGTACTAAGGGGGCCGTTGGGCGAACCCGTACTAAGGGGGCCGTTGGGCGAACCAGTACTATGGGCCGTTGGGCGAGCCAGTATCAAACGAGGTTGGGCGAACCCGTACTAAGGGGGCCGTTGGGCGAACCAGTACTATGGGCCGTTGGGCGAACCCGTACTAAGCCGTTGGGCGAACCCGTACTAAGGGGGCCGTTGGGTGAACTCGTACTAAGGGGGCCGTTGGCCGAACCCGTACTATCCTACGTGCCCGCTCGGCACCGTGCCCGCTCGGCACTCCTACCCCTAAAGTGCCCGCTCGGCACTGTGCCCGCTCGGCACCCCCTAACCTACAGTGCCCGCTCGGCACTGCCTACTCCTAATCTAGAGTGCCCGCTCGGCACTGTGCCCGCTCGGCACCTCTTAACCTAAAGTGCCCGCTCGGCACTCCTAAGTGCCCGCTCGGCACTCCTAAGTGCCCGCTCGGCACTGGAAAAAAAACCCAAAAAAAAAAAGGCCGCGGGCCCGAGCGCTTTTTCCAGGTCGAGGCCGAGGAAGGTCGCGCCGGCTCACGCTCCTGCGAGGGATCGATCGGAAAAAAAAAGGGGGAAAACGACGGCGAGGGGGTCCTCGGCCACGGCCACGCTTCGAAGGCGGCGCCGCGGCCTGGCACGAAAGCGAAGCCGATCGATTTCAACGGCCGACGGATGAGCCTGGAGGCGCTCGACCTCTCGCCGGAGCGCGATGGCCTCCGCCTGGGGCGCAACGGGAGGGCAGGGGGGGGAAACGAAAAAGACGCCCGGCAGCGGGCCTGGAACCCCTGCTTCCAGGCTTTCTCGTTCCGCAAGGCCTCCTCCAAGACCGCCACGCGTGTGGCCTGACCAGGGAAAACCCCCCCAAAATGGGGGGAAAAGAAGGAAGGGAAACGCGCCTGCGAGGCGATCTCCTTCATCAGGTTCACCTGCAAAACGGGTTTGCGGGTCCCGCCCAACCCCGAAAAAAAAAGGGGTCGCGCCTTCTCCTGTTCGTGGGCCAGCACCCGTGCCTCCGCCACGGAGGCACGGGTCTCCGCGGCGTTGAGCTTCTCGTCCTGACAGGAAAAAAAAGGCCGGCATCCGAGCGACGAAGAACGCGCCTTCACGGCGAGCTCAACGCGCGCACGGTCCTGCCAGGCGAGCGGAAAAAAAGGAAAAATGAAGGGGAAAAACGCGCCTTGGCGGAGTTGAACTCCGCCTCCCTCCGCCGTTTGGAGGCCGGGGGCCTCCGCGAGCGACGCAAAAACCGAGAAAAAAAGGCGAACGACGAAGAACGCGCCTGCGGCTCGCCCCCCAAGCCGCCTGGCGGGCACGGAAAAAAAAAAGGGGAACCCCTCCCAAAAAAAAACCCTCGGCCGTCCTGCCAACCGCCGGGCCAGGCTCCCTCCTGGCAGCAGGAAAAAAATCGAACGACGCGCGTGCGAGCGCTCGACCGGCCTCCCGCCCGCTCCACGCGGTGGCATTCCACTCCTGACAGGAGAAAAAAGAAACCCCTCCCCCCTGACAACGACCCAAACGTCCTCTCCGCCGGAGCCCTGCGACTCCTAGCAGAGGAAGCAAAAAAAGGACCCTGAAAAAAACAGGAACGCCCACCAGGCCCAGCCAGGGCCCCCAGGATTGGTCCTGAGACGCAAAAAAAGGGCATGGTTTTGCAAGGAAAAAAACACAGCCTCTCCGCCATCCGCCATCGCGAGGGGCGAGCGCGGGCGCTGTTGATGCTGTCGTGGATGCTGCTGTTGACGCAGCTGTTGATGCTGCTGCTACCCGAAACTTTGCCCCGCTACCCGAAGCCTTGCCAGAACCTTTGCCCCGCTACCCGAAGCTTGCCCCGCTACCCGAAGCTTGCCCCGCTACCCGAAGCCTTGCCAGAACCCTTGCCCCGCTACCGGCCTTGCCAGAACCCTTGCCCCGCTACCCGAAGCTTGCCCCGCTACCCGAAGCTTGCCCCGCTACCCGAAGCTTGCCCCGCTACCGGAAGCCTTGCCAGAACCCTTGCCCCGCTACCGGCCTTGCCAGAACCCTTGCCCCGCTACCCGAAGCTTGCCCCGCTACCCGAAGCTTGCCCCGCTACCCGAAGCCTTGCCAGAACCCTTGCCCCGCTACCCGAAGCTTGCCCGCTACCCGAGCCAGTGCTGTTGCTGGTGCTGGTGCTGTTGCTGGTGCTGGTGCTGTTGCTGGTGCTGTTGCGCTCGAGCCCTGCCCGCAGATCAAGTCCGATTACGGCACAGTCTGCTTGCAAAAAAACACCAAACGGGTTTGCGTCATGCAAGCACCCCCGAAGAGGTATTTTCCATTGGTGTCCTTGTCAAGAACCCAGATTTTCAATGAATAGATTGCGCCTTGATTCAATGGTCGTGTGGGACAGAATGGGGGAATCCCGTGTCAAAGAGCAGGAGTTGACCTGCAATCGGAACATCTTTGCCCACCGATTTGGCAATAATATAGGGAACCCAGTGCTCCTGTTCTGCATGCTACTGAGCGCCACTGAAGCTGTTTGCAACTGCATCCTTCAAGACAAGGCCCTTATAGCTACAGGTGAGGAAAACCAGATC